AAATAAATAAATAAATAAGAAAGAAAGAAAGAAAGAAAGAAAGAAAGAAAGAAAGAAAGAAAGAAAGAAAGAAAGAAAGAAAGAAAGAAAGAGAAGGGGGAACAAACTGTAAGGAACATTTGGAATTATAGCACAGTCAACGTTGGCTACCTTAAGAATTAGTACTTGGATACCTGGCAAGTAAGATTTATACATCAAGCTAAAATGGCCCCTTAAAAAGGTCAAGCGGGGGAAGGAAAGAACCCTCCTAAACATAACCCCCCCCCATTCCCCACCAATATTTTCTTCATCTAATGAGGAGGACTGGCCAGACTATAGGTCTGTGTGGGAGAAGCTTAGCATACTGGAAAGTGAAAGGGACTGCAAGGAGAGCAAACCTATCCATTTTGAAGGAAATCAACCCTGAGTGCTCACTGGAAGGACAGATCCAACATGAATTTGACCCAGCTCCAGGAGGCAGTGGAAGACAGGAGGGCCTGGAACACTCTGGTCTGACAAAGAGTTGGACACAACTAAATGACAAGAACAGAGGGGCCAAAGATTCTTCTGCAGTTTGGAGATCACTCAGAGAATCCAAAGCTCATAAATTAGCAGAACTTGAGGATGGGGGACATCATGTTATCTCACATTGCCATTTTAGAAGGAGAATGGTCCAGGCCTTCAGGGGCCTCTTCAGTGGCAATCACTCTGGAGAGGTGACAAAGTGTATGCCCAGCAGCAACCCAGAGTCAAAGCTGACCTCAGATGACATTAACATGTACACAGACCCGGAAGGACGAGACCGATGGGAGAAATAGTGTCAGTCAGCCAGTGCGGAGGGAGGGAGGATTTTGTGGGTCCTTTTATTTCTTTTATTTCTAGGTAGAGAATCCACAAATGTGGTTTATCATCCTCTCCTTCTAAGGGCACTCTGGGACCCTGCAGCTTGCCCAAGGCTACCCAGGCTGGCTCTTCTCCCACGAGGCACAGCGAGGAATCAAACTCCCAGCTTCTAACTCCACAGCCAGATACTTAAACCACTGAGCTATTCAGCCTGCAATGAAGAACCATCGGCCATCAAGTCAATTCTGACTTATTGTGACCCTTTTCAAAGTTTTCTAGGTAGAGAATACTCAGATGTGGTTTCTCATTCCTTTCTTCTGGGACTGTGCAGTTTGGCCAGGGTCATGCAGGCTGGCTCTTCTGGATGCATAGTGGGGAATTGAACTTCCAGCCTCTGATTCTATAGCCAGATAGCCAGCTCATTGGGCGTGGGGGTGGGGGACACAACTGAGGAATACTGCCTAGATTTCTCTCTAATTATTTAAATGGAAAAGAAGCGAAATCCTTCTACAGCCAGAGAAACACGTGAATACACATATATACACATATTTCGGCAACATGCAATTTGTTTATTATGCAGGTTTAAAAAAAAAAACATACACCACAATGTGAAGTGAAATACAATCTTCATCTTATAGTAAGCTTTTCTGGAGGCTGAATGACAGTAGATGAGTAAACCTTGAAATGGTCATTGTTGCGGAGATTGAGTAGACTTCTCTGCTTTTCTGCACAACCTGGAGAGAAAAAAATAAATATGTTTTTTCTTGCAGTTCTTTATATAAACAAAGAATCAAATGATACACAATGATGGTGGGTCAGCAGGGAATCTTTGTTCAGCAAAAATCCCTCTGTCCTGGAATTCATTGTTAATTAATTAATTACAAGGTTAAATTCTGACAGGTCTCAAAGTCAACCTAGGGAATTGTTCATCGCAATTCAGTGTATAAGTTGTAACAGAATCAGGATTTAGTCAGCAACATGTAACAAAGGAACACAGCTGGGTTAATTGAGACAGCTGTGGGACAACCAATTTGATTGGTTCAACCAAGGATAAAACTAGCCAAGCTTGCAGAGACAAACTGTTGGGTAGTTTGGATAGTTTGGGTGGTTGGGTTGTTGTGTTGCTGGTGATTGTGTTGTTGAGAGCTGTATATACTGCATCGTTGGATGAAGACTTGCCATATTGCAAGGAGAAGATCCTGGAGGAAGGCTATCTCCGTGGTGAGAGGAGAAGACTTCGTGGATGCTGGACTATTTACATTGGTAACAATCTTTGGTTACTGAAACTGTAATTTACCATTGCATACTGAAGAACTACTGTGAATGACCAGGACTGTATAAAGACCAAGAGAAGTTGTATTTACCCCTGTATATATGGACTTTAATGTAAATAATACTATCAACACTACAACAGTGTCTGTTTGGTTTCATCTCTGAGCAGTTCACTTCACCATTACGCCCCCTGGTGTAGTCTGGTAACGCCGCACCTCTGTCAATTTCCTGCTTTCATTTTTTAAAAAGAAGTAAATACGTCTCAATACACAATTGAAATATCAAGCCATTATAAAGAAGCATGGCATTTAAAAAGATAGTATTAGAAGATAGTATCAAGATCATTTAGAGTATAAAAAAATGTTATGTACAACGGCTAAGCATCCCCAGGGAGAATGTTTCACGTGTGGATTTCCAAAATCAAGAATTCAATCCTGTACTGGCAGGACTCGGTGAATTGCAGTCCAGTCCAATTGTGTCCTTGGTTTGGTGGGGGGCAGAGAGAGAAAGGGGATGGCCAAACGTGTTCCTCCTTCAAACCCTGAGACATGAGAAGGGGAAAGGATTGAGGAGATCAATGGATGTCTGCTAAGGATGATGATACGTTTTCATACAGAGCTTGTGACTAGAGGGTAGGTGGCTTGTATGACATGGGTTGACATGGGTGGGATAGGTTTGGAGGGACCTTGGCTCCAGCATGGGTCTGTCTAATATAGAATCCTTCTGTGGAATTTTATAAGTAGCTAGATGAAGTGTGGCCCCACATTACCTGAAAACCTGGTCAGCAAAGCCCTTTCTGTGGTTGTCCTCAACTATATCTGGCAAGAGCAACAGAAGAAGGATACTCAGCAGAGATCATGAGGCCAATGTAAACACAAATGATTCGTCAAGTAACTCCATTTCAAGCCATGAAGGTCATCACCCATATCTTGACTTGTGCCTTGTCATGGAGCAGGAGTCACTACAGCTGTTGAAGAGCTAGTGAAACATACTTCTAGTATGTCAGGCCAGAGTTAATATTGATGATCTGAAAGTCATGACCGTAGCTTCTGAACCCCACATTTCTGGGGCATTTAAGGGTGAGTGGTTGGTTGTACACTTCTGCCTTCAACTTTGGTACACCTCAAGATGTTCATAGTACACTCTGATCCCAGCCTACTGTTTTCTGGTTGTCTCTAGACATGGGATATTAGTATGTGTATCCCAAGAGAATATGAATATTGGCACCTCAGGTGCCAGTGAAAACCAAACCATCTCCCCAGAACCCGCCAATCCACTTACTGCTCTCTATGCTGCACTCGTGGCCATCATCACTTGCATAGTGCCAAATGTGGAAGTACAGTGGTGTCTAGCATTACGACGTTAGTTTGTTCCAGCAAAATCGCTGTAGAACGAAAACGTCGTAATGCGAAAATAAAAAGCCCATTGAAACGCATTGAAACCCTTTCAATGCATTCCAATGGGCTGGAAACTCACCGTCCAGTGAAGATCCTCCATAGGGCCGCCATTTTCGGTGCTTGTGCAGCGAGGAATCCATCCCAGAACGGGGAGCCATTTTATTTACCCGGTGGCCATTATGAAACCACTGATCAGCTGTCCGAAAATCATTGTTTTGTGAAGAATTGGTTCCCGAAGCAGGGAACTGACCATCGCAAAGTGAAAAACCCCTATTCAGAACATCAGTTTGCGATCACAAAAGCAATCGCAAAAAGATTGTCGTAATGCAGTCCTGTCGTAATGCGGAGCAATCGTAAAGCGAGGTGCGACTATAGTCCAGTTGGCTCTTCCCCGCCTCTCCACATAGCCAACCACTTAGCAGTTGAAGCATGGAAACTCGTCATCCACCTCCTCACCAGAGTGGCTGACTGTGTGGAGGGGCAGGGAAGCATCAGCTGGGCTACTTCTGCGATTGGCACTATGCAACTGACAACGGCCGCATGCGCTGCAAGAAAGAGCAGTACGTGGACCGGTGAGTTCTTGTGGGGGGAGTCAGTTTCTGCTGGCACCTGTGATATTTGTATTCGTATTCCTTGGGATATAAATACGAATATCCTATGTTTTCTGATTAATCTGTTTCCTGATTTATTCATATATAATCGATTCAAGATTGGCTTTAGAATTCTCAGTAGATTCAGGAAATAACAACCAGACCCATTAAAACAACTTAACCCTGACCCTCAATATATTAGAATTAGAGATGGATACGAATCAGAAAAAATGGTGACTCATTTTGATTCATGATTAACCAAGGGTGATGAAAAAATTTACAATTTTTTTCCTGACAAATCAGGTGATTAACCAAGGCTGATGAAAAAAATTACAATTTTTTTCCTGACAAATCAGTGAATCAGCTTGTCAATTTGTTTTTGACTTTTAAATCCTATAAAATAGACTCCCAAGCACATAGGGATAGCAATTTCACAGAGAAACTTTCCACACTCTCCTCTCCAATCCCTCCATGTTTGGTGAAGATTGGGTTAGGGGCATCTGAGTTATACACCCACAAAGTGGATCACCCCAGGAATGTGCCCTTTAGCCGCTGGCTTGGTGAAACCCAATCTTCAACAAACTGAGAGGGATTGGAGAGGAGAGTCAGAGGAAGCTTCCCTACAATATTGATGTCTCTTGGTGCTTTGGCAGCCATTCTATAGCCAAAAAATGATGAATCAAAAATTGCTAAGAATGAATTGATTTGTTTTTCATTTTTCAATTCATTTCAGTGCTGGGAGCCAGGCTTTCTTGAAAGTCTAAAACTCAACAAAGCCTGGCTCCCAGCACTGAAAAATATAGCCTAAAAAAGGTCAACAAACTCTACCCAGCCACAAGGACCAATGATCACTGCACACAAAAGACCAGCCGACACCCATAAATCACAGTGACAGATCATCTATCCCCCTTATCACAACAATACACCCACCACAAAAACATGCTGATCACTATAATCACCCAATCTCCTGCAAAGGACAAAAGCTGATCCCACAGCTATAAATACTCAATGATCCAACAAACTGTGCCAGAGCACAGAGTTCTGACTTCTGTCCGCTGAAGATGCTGGCCATAGAGGCAGGTGAAATGTTAGGAAGAAAAACTTAAGAACACGGCCAAACAGCCCAGAAAACCCACAACAACCAAGAGATGTATACTAGCTGTAAAGAGGCTTACCTGTTATATTTAAATCATTAAGAATATGTGACTACATAACTGACAGTCTCTTTTGACATTTTCTCCTTGGAGGGATATCTTGAACTTCCGATCACTCTGAAAGGAGAAAGTTGGTCAATATCAAAACTTTTGAAATACCGTATTTTTCGCACCATAAGACGCACTTCCCCCCCCCAAAAAAAACATTGGGGAAAAAGTGTATGCGTCTTATGGAGCGAAATTCCAAGATTATTTTTTCCTGTTTTCTTCGCCTAAAAATTTGGTGCGTCTTATGGAGAGGTGCGTCTTGTAGAGCAAAAAATATGGTAATCTAACCCCTAGGAAAACAAACATCATATCCATCAGTTGGTGTGATGTGCCAATACAGTAGGATAATCTCATTCCAGTAAGCACCTCTACCCTCCCCTCCAGACAATATGATTTTTATTAGGCTTGTCAAGTGTGCTGCTATGTCAGATATGTTTTGCAAGTGTAGCGCTATGTCACTTGCCAACTTTTTTTAAGAGGCAGGGAAGAGAGTGGTGTTAATGAGGGCAGTGTGCAACCTATATCTCAGCAAAAATTATGTGATTCTGAGGTCCAGTGAGGACTCTCACCCACCCCCAATTGCTCAGGATAATTAAACATGAATGAGAACTGTGATTTAACTGCTGTAGGCAACTTCAAACTGAGCTGAATCAATCCAGAACATTATATCCTCTGTTTGGTTGGAACAATCCGACCTAAGCTTGGATAATTTCAAGCAAATCAACAATAAAATCAAAGTACTGCAGAAAAATATTATTTGGTGATCTCTTGCCTTATGTTTCCATATAGGCCCCTTTGAACTTCATCGTTCTATTCTATTCTATTCTATTCCATTCTATTCTATTCTATTCTATTCCTATTCTATTCTATTCTGTTGTTAATCCTGTTTTGGGCTTCAGCAGCATACAAGTGCAAATTTGCCACTCAGACTAAAATGGAGAGAGAAGCATGATGTGTCTTCAGAGACAAGGAGAGGTACCAATACACATGTAGATTTAGAAAAGAGTGTGGAAGCACTTGGCTATCTATTTTCCACTCAGCTACATAAATATGTTAAAATATGTAGGCCACTTTTTTTGGCAGGGGAAAGCTGAAGGAAGCAGATTGTAGGTATTTTGATTAGGGTGGTGAATCTTGGAGGAGTGTAAATCATACCAGTGCACCTCATTGTTCTTCTTAGCTGCTCATGGATATTTTATTTTCCCTTCTGCAGACATCCCAGTACAGTGGTGCCTCGCTTAGCGATGTTAATCCATGCAGCAAAATTGGTTCTAAGCGATTTTGTCGCTAAGCGATATTAAAAAGCCCATAGAAACACATTAAACCCTCTTTAATGCGTTCCTATGGGCTAAAAACTGACTTTAAAGCGAAGATCCTCCATACGGCGGCCATTTTCACTGCCTCTAAAGCGAGGAATCCACGCAAAAACACAGCGGGCGGCCATTTTGGAACTGTCGATCAGCTGTTAAAAAATCATCGCTTTGAGATGATCGGTAAGTGAAACAGGGAACCGATCATCGCAAAGCAAAAAAATCCCATAGGAAACATCGCAAAGCGATTGCTTTTGCGATCGCAAAAAATGCGTCACTATGCGGTTTTGTTGCTAAACGGAGCGCCCATTAAGCGAGGCACCACTGTAATCTGCACCATGGTGGCACAGAATTAAGAAGCACCCAGAGAAGAGATAGCTCCTGTTTTGGGGACCAAAGTCATCATTTAAAGAGGGACAGAGCAACCCAGTGGTGTTGCTTCAGCTCCTCTAAGTGACTCCAGAATGCTCCTCATAATTATACTATTTCATGATCTAACACTGTTCTAGGCAAAATGGCAACCTCTCCTGACAGTAGCTGAGCAGTCATTGCAATAAGAAATATTGTAAGTACAAACCTAGTGTCTGAGTCTCTTCCATCCACAGAGCCACCATTCTTTCCACCTCCTCCGTTCATGGAGCCACCATTCCTTCCACCTCCTCCGTCCATGGAGTCACCGTTCCTTCCACCTCCTCCATTCATGGAGCCACCGTTCCTTCCACCTCCTCCATTCATGGAGCCACCGTTCCTTCCACCTCCTCCATTCATGGAGCCACCGTTCCTTCCACCTCCTCCATTCATGGAGCCACCGTTCCTTCCACCTCCTCCATTCATGGAGCCACCGTTCCTTCCACCTCCTCCATTCATGGAGCCACCGTTCCTTCCACCTCCTCCATTCATGGAGCCACCGTTCCTTCCACCTCCTCCATTCATGGAGCCACCGTTCCTTCCACCTCCTCCATTCATGGAGCCACCGTTCCTTCCACCTCCTCCATTCATGGAGCCACCGTTCCTTCCACCTCCTCCATTCATAAGCCACCGTTCTTTCCTGCTTCTCTGTTAAGGAAAGAGATGGTACCTGCATTTGCATCAACAACAACTGTGCAAAAAATGTCTTCTAAAATTCTCCACCCTTTTGGGCAGGGACAGGGGAAGTGGGAAGACACGAGCCCTGGATTTGTCCATTGGAAGGACAAAGCCTCCAACAATCTTTGGAGATCAATACTCACCATTAGCAATGGTTGTAGCACAGCTTTACTCTTCATCATCTAAAGCAGTGGTTCTTAACCTTTGTTACTCAGGTGTTTTTGAACTG